AGAAAATAATTGAAGATAGTTCATTTTAAACTGCGTTAATCAAGGAACTCAACGTTATTCTCCATTAAAAAATGTAAGAATCAATAATAAAATTAGTTCATCATTATATAGATAAATGAAATAACTAAAGAAAGTATAATAAAAGTATTTTTAATTAATAATAAAAGTATTTTTATTCAGATTTTTATATATGCTTTGCTTTCCAGGAAAAGTTAATTCGCTCGAATTTATTTCTCTTTGATTGAATCCTTCAATTTTCTACCTAAATTTGTCACGAGGAACAAATAATATACAGAGATCGCAATCGTAACATCAGCGTAAATTCGTAGAACATATCGGCCGCTCCCATCCTTCATAAATCAACAAAATTGGAGTGTAGAGAATGAAAAAAAAGCTCGGTTGATGTTTGACTCACGCAATGAAAAGAAGTTCCATCCTTGTCGCACGAGATCTAGATATTAAAAATATCCCTCGCAGACAGAATAACAAAGAGGAAATGCTAATTAAGTCAATAGCCTAGCAGTCAGCTAATTGCTACGGGCGTATATATTTTAATTAGACATTTTAATTAGAATAGAGAGAATTTCTGCTTTCTGAGTCTATTACATACAGGATTAGATCATATACCTACGCACAATCAAGATAACATATAATCATTCAGTGAAATCACGATATGAGATAGAGGAGACACAGAGCGAAATATACAGTGCTTTCTAGCAAACGACACAGTGCGACACAGTGATCATATCATTTTTCTTTAACATCGGCAAACAACAAGGATGTAATGATTTAGTGTTGCATTATTGTGTCATCTGTATCATCTCTTGTCTCATCAAATCAAAGTGTATGTAAATTAGAGACCCTCTAATAAGAGTCTGGATATGAGAAAGCCATTTTGATTAATCCACTATGTTTTAACAATTCCAGAGAAAGAGAGAGAGAGAGAGAGAGAGAGAGAGAGAGAGAGAGATAAAAAAAGATAGAAAAGTTTGGAAAAAAAAATAGAAAATGTATGTTCTTCTCTTTTGTAGATATTTGTTACAACTATTATCCTACATACAAAACTGCACTTCATGTCCAGACTCTTATTGGAGGGTCTCTAATACAGACAAATTAATTTATCAAATATTTAACGGGCAACGAAATAAAGCAAATAAAAGCGTTGGAAGTTCTCAAGCTACTTCAGGTAAGAAACCGGTGATACCAGACGATTTCTGAAAACATTAATTAAGTTTCTAATCTTACGTGACAGTACTATAAATAACAGAAAAAGAAAGAACAAGAAAGATCTCGAGATAGCGGTGTTAAGAAGAATGATGGTGTTAATTTTTCTCGTCTAGAACAGATAGAATTTATACGACCATGAATGAAGCGCTCATGATTATCTCGAAACATATAACATCGTCTGATTAATTTTTTGTAGCGCCAGTCGGATATTATCTTGGCTCTGATAAAGAAATAATCCGTACAATCCTTTTCCTTTTGTGGAAATTAATTCCACATATGAGGCAGTGTATGGCATAAGTCGCGTTCCGGATTTAACACACGGCGGCTGTTATTTTATCGATCATTCGGAGCATAGTTACTGCCGCAAGGCCGCGGGTTCAGGCTTTCTGAATGAAAGAAACGATGCCGCGAGCCCATCGATAAACACGTCGTTTATACTCGTGGGTTCACTATATCACTGTAGAAAAATATCTGGATGTCGTGTTGAGAAAAAACGCATTGAGAAAAAAAGTGTCTATTTGTAGAGTGATATTTGTGACAATTGTGATTATGACATAATAAAATAAGTATACCTTCATTTTATATCTTTTTTTGTATATAGAACCGTAAATATAATTATTATTACTAGCAGTAATAACTATAAAAATAGAGCTCTTAACTATAATTATTTTACCATACATTTATATTATAATAGCAGAATAAAATAAATATTGTATAAAATTAGGAACTCTATTATATATTTTTTTTTTGTACAGAGCTATAAATATAATTGTGTTGACAATATTATAACAGTAATAACTATAAAAAATAGAGCTCTTAACCGTAATTATTTTACCATGCAATTACATTATATTATATCGTATTATATTATAATCAACTATATTATATTATCATATCAAATATTATTATATATTATATCATATCAAACACTTTTCTCACAGTATTATTTGCACGAGTGAAATTGTCGTTTGCCTTCATTCAAAAAACAAAATCTAATGCCATCCACAGCGAACAAAGACGTTGCCTACAACTGAGGCAAAGAATTTGAGGTGTCTCGTAATAATTGCGAGACATTTGCGAGACATTCCACCAATTTTGCGGAAATTTAACCCCTCGCGTGTCACACGAATCGGTGTTAGCTTGGATGCTCGATTTCGGCGGAAGATCAGAATCGATACTCACGCCCGAAGTGAAGCATCGCTATCACATCAAATTTAAGAATGTTCGTGTTGGTGCATCACGAGCTGCACAAAGACGCCGCAACGGTACCGCCCGGCCAGGTCAGGGAAATCAATGCATTATGCAACAAGTAGCCAGTTGCCGCTTGCGCTTTGAAAATTTCACAAATGCATCCTGGCGAATGCAAAATCGTCGGCAGGACACGTCGCGATAGAGTATCTCTTCCCTTCGGTGTACTCTTTATTCGCATCAATGCTGAATGCATCCGATAAATTTATCGCCCGAGGTTTTCGCGAGACAATTCAATTGTCATTGCGAAACTAACTGTTAAATGCATGCAGTCACGCAAGGAAACGTCGCGTATTTTCACCGTTTACAAGCAATAATCAAGAAGAATTAGAGATCATCTCTAAAGAACTTTGAACAAACTCCATTTAATTCATTAAGTAACATCCATAGTGTTTTTAGCAATATGAATAGAACTATTAATTCTTGCTGCTATTTCAATTAAGTGTACTGTTAGAAATTATAATGCCAAGCGATTCTATCGATCGAATTAATCGCCGACTAAATTAATCAGAGTTCGATTTAAGTGCCGAATGTTCATTTCTACCAAATAGATTAATTTATTCTTTATTTTTTCTAGTTTTTAAAACCAAAAAAAGTAAAAGGATAAGTCAAGATAAAAATTAATCTACATAAGAGTAGCATTGTCGAGAATTACCAAGCGTTTCTGTCAACTGGACTAATTATTATGTTCTTTTCTTGTGTGTGCATTTCATTTCTGAATTAACGTAAAAGTTTTTGAAAAGTATTACTCTATATTTTTTCTAATTTTAAAACTAGAAAAACATAAAAAATAAGTTTAAGACAATTAGTGCGTTCGAGGAGACGCTCCTTCTATTATCTTCGTTGTTTAGATGAAAACAAGGATAGAATGACATAAATAGCGCTAATAATCGCTTTGAACGCACCTAATATTAAAATTAATCTATGTGATAAGTTATTTATTATAGTTAATTAATCTAAGTGATAAAAATAAGTGTAAGAGTATCATCATCGAGAATTATCAAATGTTTTTGCTAAACTAATTATTATAAAAGCTAATTGTTACGTTCTTTTCACTGCGTGTGCATTTTATTTCCGAATTAATATTAATCGGAGTTCGATTGAAGTTGTCCTAATGTCCATTTTTATCAATATAGATTAATTTTAATCTTAGTTTAATTTATTCTTCTATCTAATAGATTGTTTATAATTATTAAAATTAGAAAAAGACAAAAGTTTTAAACATTAAGAATTCTTAGGAAAATCTTTACAATTTCTTATTATTAGAATTCTAGGATAATGTGAATCGACTGAAAATCTTTTACTCAACTTTCACCTGTCAGTGACGCGCGCGATAATCAAGAGACAACACCATGTATGTATAGTTGACGCACCTTAATGTTATGAGAAAGGAAGCAAAGAAACGTGTTTCTTACTGCGAAGGATCGTTCTCCGTATCGTGCCAGAATAACGAGATTTATTCTGATACCTTCAGACACTTACAAGCCGTCTTGGAGCGTGGGGAAAATGTCAAGGATAACAAATAAATATTTAGCGAAGCTAGCATTTATTTGCTGGCGCATCTTCCTCTGCGGCAAAAAAGCAACCATAAAAGCAATCATAATAAAAAGATTCCATAACGGGATCACATCACAATGCCCGGAAAATAACAGTTATCCAACTAAGCCGTAGTTTAAAAACTTGCGATTTAAGAATTGTACTTAACCTCGTGCCAGATTACACAATAGAAATTGAGAGATTGTAAATTAGAAATATGATTTTAATTTTTAAATAATTTTAATAATTGCAGATTTAACAAATTAATTCTAATTTTAATCCGCGTTTCTCTGATTGTGATTGAGAATTCTAATCTTCAACTCACAATTCTAAAGCAATTTCTGATGCAAGCATTAGGAAATGTGCTCGTTGCTTCGCAAAAGGAAAGAAAATCGCCTCATTCGCGTCAAGGCCATGATGGCTTTAAACTTGTCGCCTTAAATCGGCGACTTCGATTAAACTGTGATTAACTTAATCGAGAATTAATTCGATTAGCAAGTTCAATCGACTGCCTATAAAATTTTCATATGTTGTCATTTATGATCTAATCTTTTTTTTCTACATGTCAGGCAATAAAAAATTGATGACAATTCTATCTAGATTGATGAATAATACAAACATCGTTAGGCCTATTTTCTACCAATGTAGAGATCTACTTAATTTAATCTCGAATTAATTTATTCTTTATCTTCATCTAATTTTTAGAACTAGAAGATAAAAAAAAATAAATTAACTCGAGATTAAAGTTCGTCATATATATTGATAAAAATAGACATTAATCATCAATCAAGTTGATCGAAGTTATCTATCCCTACATGGGCCGCCCTTTGCCCTGCGTTTGACATCTTCCATCTCCCGCGTTCTAACCTCAAATCCTGTCGCAGTGTGCGAAAGCAGATAGAGAAAGTAGACAGAGAAAGTGAGAAGGAAGGAGACAGAGAGAGAGAGAGAGAGAGAGAGAGAGAGAGAGAGAGAGAAAATATACTCACCCGTGCGTGGTCGCGTGTCCGCATTTGCCTATGCCGTCGCACGCGTGTCGCCAGCTTGTCGGCATTTCACCGCTTGTCGAAAGATAAATCCGCGCGTACACCAGGGAAGCGTGGCCCGTCGTCGCCGTCACCGTCGTCGTCACGCATGCAGCCACGCACGATATTCGTACGCACGCCGCACGCGAGCGCGGGCGCGAACGCACGGGCCGCTGTCTCGCGGCCGCATGGGGAGAACACGCGTCCAATTGATGAGTGACAGATGGAAACGAGGATGACAATGACGAGGACAAAGAGAAAGACAAATAGATGAACAAGAGAACGCGCTGACAGGAAGATGTTTTCCTCGTCGTGTCTTTTCTTTTTCTCGTTCAAATTTCGCCCGCGAGACGCGATGCGACTCTCCACAGTCTCCACAATTATCCAAGTCGCGATCTGCGAGCGAACTGTTTCCGGACACGCGAGAGTCAGCGAGAGTCGCGCGAGTTGCGAGCGAGCGCCGCTCACGAGACACGGCCGCGCGCCGCTCGTCGTAGGCGTAGATGATGACCCGACGTGGACTAGATATACCACGTCGTAAAGACGCCTGTAAAGTACCGCGAGGGACGCGTCCATTTATTATTAACTCTTCGTGAATGCCACAGGCGGGAAACGCATCGTCGTCTCCTCGCGCGCTGCGCCGTCGGCCGATGCTACGGTCCTCTTTGCATGCGCCAGATAGCAGCAGCTATCGATCGTCGAACCATCATGATAACCATCTAGGAATAATTCAGGCTCTTGTATGTTTATTTTTAATAAAAAAAAAAAAGAACCCTCACATGTGTGATTTGTTACTCTATTTCGGATTAGCTTAGATTGTAGCCAAGATCGACAAATGATAAGTTCAATGATTTTCTTTAGCGGCAACGGATGAAAGTTCTTTAAATTCTTGGAAATTTTATACATCGTACGTCTTGTGAAAATTTTGCATAATTTTATAATATAATTTATCATGTATACAATTAATGTATTGTAATTAATGTATTAAATTATATTAATTATATAGTGCAATATAATTCATATAGTGTAATGTAATTCGACTTAAATCGAAATAAAATCCAATTTATTCCTACAACGGAAACGTGAAACGATATCTCCGACATCCTCGGTTTCTATTTTTTAAATCTGATCGTCAGAACTTTTTTCGAAACGTCTTAATTAATCTTAACGTAAAGAAACTTTGGAATTTCTTAAGAAGGAATCGAAGCTATATCAAAGTTCTGGAAATAACATGCTAATTTTATAAGTTAATTCTATCAATTAAGAAACTCAAACATTATTATATATAAAAGTTTTTAGATTGTTGCTCTTTTCTTTTATTTCTTATTATAAAAGTTTCTTTAATATTTTTAAAACAAAATTTAAATAAATTAAAAATAATAATAATAAAGTATACGAGCAATGAGAGCACGGAAAATTGATGCGCAAATTCATATAAAATTCATATAATATATTAATCCATGAGTGTCGATATAAATTTCTTGAATGTTTCGATTTACTTCAAACCATCATCAGCAAGTTGTGGAGAATTTTTATAATGACATCGATGAAAATTATTTATAACTTGCTGATGATGGTTTGAAGTAAACCGAAATATACAAGAAATTTGTATATTCGTCGATACTCGTGATAGATTAATATATTATATGAATATTATATAAATTTTATATGAATTTGCGCATCAATTTCCGCGCTGTATTAACGTTCTTATTGCTCATATACTTTATTATTATTATTTTTAATTAGTTACAATATAATTATTAAGTAGAATTAATATACATATATAACTCACTTTGTATCAATATTTTATTAACATTTGCCATTTCTCCTATTTTCTTTAAATTCCTTCACATTTCATGACATACTAATATCCATTTCCAATATTTGTTAATTTTACTTTGAATATTAAATATATTTTATATTCATTAACTTTAATTTATTCGATTCAATCTACTTCTTTATTTTTCTTTAGAGTTCTTAGAAAAAAATAAAGAGTAAATTAAATCAAGATTAAAGTTAGTTTTACAGAGAAATATAATCGATATAAATGTTGTTCTATCTTTCTTGGCATTTAATAAATAAAGATAATAGAACGTCATGCATACACTTGTGACGATTGTATCTATCTCCTAAGAACAACGGCCTTGATTTATATTATTGATAGAAAAATGGACATATAGTTCATCTATGGACTCGATGATTTCGATCCAGACTCCAATTTATTAATTTAATCAATTAATGTCCATTTCACTATAGATTAAATTTTAGTTCAACTTACTCTTCATCTTTCTCTAATTTCAAGAATTAATCGAGTTCTATATGTTGAACCGAGATTAAAATTAAATTACAACATTTAGAAATAAACATAATTTAATTGACAGAACTGCTTAAAACAAATAATTTCTAATAATATAATGCACTGTCTCCGATCTAATTTTGTTCATATATATATATTTACAATAAAAAATTAAAAATCATATAAAATGTACAATAAGAATCTAGTGAGCTGAGCTAAATGATAAATGCTATTATTATATGTTATTATAATAACGATGCTATTATTGTTATTATTTTATTTTTAACGCTAGGCTATCATACGCACGTACATGCTTCTATTTTTAATACTATTTGTTTGTTATATATTGATGACACAAGTATAAATATAGTATATAAATATAAATATATATAAGATAAAAAAAACTCGCGTTTCGATCCTTTAATGAGATCATTCTTAATTCGGAAAGACAATTAACACCAAACTCTTAAATTATTTAAAAAATGCGTATTTACAAAAATTAACAAAAAAACTAATTCTACCCATGTTAAGAAAGCGGTACAGGTATTATTTGACGAGTTAATTGCCGATTAATTTAATCGAAGTTTGATCGAAGTCATCTCCTACAAACAACGTTAAGGGACATTTAAAAATGGCCGCAGTATCGGCGCATTAAGGAAACCAAGGGAAACGTATCCAAACGCACCGATCGTTGTCGGGGATACGACTGATGCGTCGATATTGAAATTTGCGATCATCATAGCGAGTCACGTCGATGTACGCGCGTTCTATTTATAGCATTCCCGATTCTTTCGGCGCCGCATGCCAAGTATTTTGACGTAAGACCAACCGGACGCGATTTCACGTCATCGAAGTGGAGAATCACGTCCTCGCTGCATTTCCAATCTTCCTGTGCTCCTCTCCATTCAGAATCCTCGCTCGTGTCTTCCGCTCATTACGTTAGTGTCTCACGTCCGTTCTCGTGCGGTTTCACCAGGTTTCATCCAGCTGCGAGGTTAAGCTACGTAATCAATAACCTCACGCTCTCGAGAGAGCTCCTTGTGCGAAGCGAACGGCGATGTCGCCCGGTATCAACGGAGGGGGCGGGGGCGGAGGCGGAGGCGAAGGCCCCCGCAACACAGGCACCCTGCCGAAAAGCAATCGGAGGAGCGACAGGAATCGGGAGCGGTCCGCCGCTAATCAGCAAAACCGTTCGGTTTATCATGGCCACCCGCAGCATTTTAACAATTTGGTAAATCCACCGGGAATCTTGCTCTCTACAGGACTTTGCCCTGCTTTCCTTGTTTTTTAAGTAGATTAAAAGAGATATCCATACTGATATGTAATCCACACTGAGAAAAAAACAATAGAATATTATATATTATGCATGCATTTTTTCATGTATTATTTTTGTTGGTTAAAGAAAAGAAAATTTGATTAACCACATTGATCATTTGAGTTTTATTTTGTATAATTTTTATTACTTATTAAAAGTATTTAGTTGCTGAAGAGAAAAAGTAATGATGTGAGAAAATGGTTGTAACAGAGATTAAAAAAAGAGGGAATGATTTTATAAATAAGTTGTATTCCAAGTGGAATGATATTTAGTGGGAGAAGACGCCCCAAGTCTACCCTGACGGATATACGCTATTAAGCTGCTTTGAGCAGTGTCGAATTCGTTCTATTAATAGACTGCAGAATAGTGGGGTGTTTCTTACTCTAAGAATACATATTCACGGAGGTGAATCTGCAGTAGAGCTGCGAGTATTTCTCCCAGCACACCCATAAGCTTATTTCCGTTCTACGTTTGCAATAGCTTAACATTATCTGAAAAAGGTTTGTACATTAGTTTCAACTAGATTGGCAAGTAGCAAGTGAATACGACCGTGACTCAAGAATATCAAGAGAAGCAAAAAACAGCAACACGAGATTAGCTTCCTCTCTGCTTCCTTCTTCATACTTTACAACGTATCAAGACTTATCTGACTTTGGTAAATATATTAATTCGTAAATATATTAATTGGTAAATATATTAATGTAATTCTACCTCTTCTGTCATATATATATATATATATATATA